TGCGGCCGACCGATCCCCACCGGAGCCGCGATGCCAGGCAGCTCGAGACCGTCGGCTCGCGAGGCGGGCTCGGCCCTGCTCTCGCTGCAGCAGGAAGACCAGGAGAATGTCAACCCCGAGAAGGTGGCGCCAGCCCAGCAGCCGCGGGCGCAGATAGCGCTGAAGGCCGGGAACGCGCGGGGAAACGCGCCGCAGCAGAGATTCAAGACTCGGCGGGTAAAGGGGCGTGAGGGTCGGGGAGGGCCGGACGGGAGCGGGCCTCGGTTTAGCAGCCGACAGCGGCTGAAAGCACGCTGCGCCTTCTAGGGGGAGTCGGGCTGCAGTCTGCACGGCCCCGGGGTTTCCAGTGCCAATAGCCCCGCCAGCCTTGCCCACCCGTGTACGCTGCCCTTCAGCACTAGTGGCGGCGTCTTTTGTAAAAATGCCCGGGGTCATACCGAGCGATGCCCCCGCGTGTCGACTTGGCCCAGCTGTGTGCCTTTCCCTCCACTTTGAAAGACAGACATTGCCATAGGGTCCAGATCCCTTCCCCCTCACCATCTGCTTCACAGATTACCTCTACTTCGGGGAAGGATAGCAAGCAATATTTTGCTTGGTAAATTCCGCCATTTTAGCCAGACTTGCATTTTCGCTCCACCCTGGGGCTAAAGTTGTGAATCAGTACTTTCCCCTAAACTTAGGGCCTTGATTAGTTTGTAATTCAATCAGCCTTTGTAGGAACGATTGACATTTATCCACCCTTTATCTTGGCTTTACTCAAACTGTTATTTATCTGGGCTTTGCCTCAAGAAGTTTATTTTTCCTAATGGAGTATTTGGGAATAAAAGCCGAGAGCCCCAGGGCAAGAAGGCAAAATTCTATTCAAAAATTCCTTTTTAGGTTGCACCTCTTAAGGACCTTTCCATAAACGATGAACACGTCGCTGTTGGTCCTTCATGGAAAACAAACAGCAAACAGCCTGCCTTTACTATTCATGTGGATGAACCAGAAGAGACCCAGAAGAGGCCAGCTGAGCAGAAAGAAACACAGTGTGAAGATGCCCTGGCTTTTAATGCAGCTGTCTCTTTACCTGGAGCCAGAAAACCACTGGTACCTCTTGATTATCCAATGGATGGTAGTTTTGGTAAGGTTTTGCCCTTTATTTTTGAGACAGAATCTCAATTTGTAGCTCTGGTAAGTCTTGAATTCACACCAGCCTGCCTTAGTCTCCCAAATTTCTAAATTACAGGCCTGTGACACCATATGGTACTTCTTAAAGTTCTTTATCAAACTAAGAAATTCGTTGCTTGGTTGGGTTAGTGATACTTTCAGTGTTAAGGCTATGTCGTTTTGTTTTGTTTTTCTAGATGGGGTTTCTCTGTATAACAGCCCTAGCCGTTCTGGAACTTGGCTCTGTAGACCAGGCTAGCCTCAAACTCACAGAGAACGCCTGCCTCTGCCTCAGGACTGGGTTAAAGATGTGCGCCACCATGCCCAGCTAAGACTGTTTTACCTGATCATAACACAGTGGGCTAAGATTACTGCAATCGGCATATAAGGGTTTCTCAGATCTCATGGCTAATCCTCAGACCTACTGACCTACAAAAGGACTCATCCTTAACAAGCAGGGAGGGCGCTGCAAACTGTATCAATCTTAATTAGATCTTAAATGCTTATTTTAATCTGACCTCATCCGTGTTTGGCTGGGAGAATAAATTTCAGTTTTGAGCATCATGGTATCTGCTCATCTGATGTAAGTCCTCAGATGCACAAGGAAGGCAGAGCAGCTGCTGCAGACAGCGCTGCTGTTGCTATGGTCTCCCTGTATGGAGACCAGAGGTGTGATATCTCTGTCAAGGTGTTACACTCTCCGCCTTACGCTATGTGTCAGGGAAGGGGTATGCTTGTGCTGGGACCTGTGGAGACCAGAGGTGTACTTGACTTTGGGGTATCTGTCATCATTTTTCTCTCATTTCTTGATGTAAAAAGTCTCACTGGAGGTCACTGGTTTAGCTACATTGGTTGGCCGTCAAGCTCCAAGGACTTGACTGTTCAACCCTCTTTCCTTCCTTAGTCTTAGGGTTACAGATAAGCCACATCTAGCTTCTATGTGGTACTGGGAGTGCAGCCTACATCCTCATGCTGTAAACCAGACACTGTCTAAGCCGCCTATCTTCCCCAGCCCCCTTTAGTTTATTTAGTTCTACTGATGAGGAAGAAGGGTATGGGAATAATTTATTTTTACATAAATTTTGTAGTGTGTGTGTTTTTTTTTGGGGGGGGATTTGTTTCTCTAGCTTTGGAGCCTGTCTTGGAACTAGCTCTTGTAGACCAGGCTGGCCTTGAACTCACAGAGACCCAGCTGCCTCTCCCTCCCAAGTACTGGGATTAAAGGCAAGCACCACCACTGCCTGGATGTTTTTTCTTAACTCAAGGTGCTATAAGGGGAAAAAAATGGAAATTCTTTACTTCAAAAGATAATTTAAATGGTAAAAAGTACAACTGAATGGGTTCGTGCCTGTCTCTAGCACACAAGACATTGAGGTAAGATTGCCAGCCTAAGCTACAGAATGAGACTTTTTTTTTTTTTTTTTTGGTTTTTCAAGACAAGGTTTCTCTGTAGCTTTGAAGCCTATCCTGGAACTAGCTCTTGTAGACCAGGCTGGTCTCGAACTCACAGAGATCTGTCTGCCTCTGCCTCCCAATTGCTGAGATTAAAGGCGTGCGCCACCACTGCCCGGCCAAGACTATTTTCACAAACACCAAGGCCTTTACGGATTACTAACATTTGTTAATACAACATTTACCTGATTCTAGTTACTCCCTGATTGTGGTTTGAATATGTCAGCCTCTGAGATCTGCAATTCTTATTAAGACAAAATAATAATAATAATTATTTCTAAATTTCGTTACGTGCTCTGTCCTAACAGAACCACTGTATCATCTACTCATCTTTTGTGATACTTAAGTTAATTCTCAGTCCTCTTAGTAGCCTATTTACTTTCTTTTGAATCAAGTTCATCCTAAAGCTATAGAGACAGAAATACTAAGACCAGAATAGAATACTCTGTGTTGCTTTACCAGAGGGGAGAAATAAATACTTTGGTTTCGATATCATGCGCAGAATCACCACATGCTATGGATATGTCCATTGTCTTAGAAGACGAAAAGCCAGTGAGTGTTAACGAAGTACCTGACTACCATGAAGATATTCACACATACCTTAGGGAAATGGAGGTAAGGCTCTGTTCATTAAAAACAACTAAATGAAGTTGAGAGGATAATGTTGAACTTTAGTTACTAGTGAGTTACTCTAATGCTAAACTTCAGTTTATAGTGTATATCAGTAACTTCTTTGTGAATGGTCAAGTGACCTGACTACAGCTTTAACACTACCAAGTTTTCCTTCAGGTTAAATGTAAACCTAAAGTGGGTTACATGAAGAAGCAGCCAGACATCACTAACAGTATGCGGGCCATCCTTGTGGACTGGCTAGTTGAAGTGGGAGAAGAATATAAATTACAGAATGAGACCCTGCATTTGGCCGTGAACTACATTGACCGGTTCCTCTCTTCCATGTCTGTGTTAAGAGGGAAGCTTCAGCTTGTAGGCACTGCTGCCATGCTGCTAGCTTCGTAAGTAGTTATTGAGTTCACAGTCATTTTCACTGCCCCCTCCTCATTTATACTTGGGTGGTTTGTGGCACATGTGTACAGTGCCTGCTGAGGCCAGAAGACGGCACTGGATCCCAAGACAGTTTTATGAGCCACCACTGCTGGTGCTGAGAATTGAACCTGAGTCTCAGTCGGTGCTTTCTCACTGTTTTGTAATGAAGGGAATAAATTCAGATTTTGTACTCTTAACATTTCAACACTGACAGCTTTAGGGAGTGAGGGCTTCTGGGAGTAGAGGGTGAAACTTGTTTTCTAGCCTAGAACATAAAACTTTGTAGATCTGGGTTTCATGTGGCTTGAATGGCACATGTAGCAGGCTAGATCAGAGCTGAGAAGTTAAATCTTCCACAGTAAAGTTGCTCCCTGAAGGATGAGCAGTGCTTCCCCTTCATTGGGCATAGAAACGGTATTTAAAAGACATTATTTTCCTCAAACTGTAGGTTATCTAAATCTTCAGCTACTCTGGTCTTGTTTTCCATCTTGGAAAACTTACAAATCGTTTCCTTTGACCACATAGGAGACATGCCTGAAGCCCCTCACTGGCTGACTGGCTGTCGATCATCTCAGCCAGAGATGGCCAACTGTTAGCGGGAATGCGGTTGGTGGAAGTGAGTTTTGAGTCTGTAGAGCCCAAGCATTTTAGATTAGGTCAAAGCCCACTTTTGAAGAAAAAAAAAGAAACTCACTTAAAATTTCTTTTGTTGTAGAAAGTTTGAAGAAATATACCCCCCAGAAGTAGCAGAGTTTGTGTATATTACAGACGATACCTATTCCAAGAAGCAGGTTCTGAGAATGGAGCACCTCGTATTGAAAGTCCTTGCTTTTGACTTAGCTGCTCCAACAGTCAATCAGTTTCTTACCCAATACTTTCTGCACCAGCAGCCTGCAAACTGCAAAGTTGAAAGCTTGGCAATGGTAAGTTCACTTATGAGTTTTTTTTTTTTAGGTTATAATTAGCCCTGGATTCATTGAATAACATTGCTTAAGAGATTAACTATTTTCAGTTCCAATACACAGAAAAACCTATAGCTAGCAAAAGAAAGATAATATAGTTGGCCCTCTCTTTGGGTTCTGTGCTTATGAAATCAGCCAACAGGCATTAATGGTGCCTGCCTATGTACTGGATAAGTATAGCCCTAAACACACAATGCAACTATATATGTGCTATTTATTTATTATTGTAAGTAATTTAGTGATATCCTAGGCATATATCACTAGATTGTACGAAAATGGTGTATCTTTTATATGTAAGGTACTTAAATATTTGGTGTTCGTGGGAAGGGACTGAGAGGTCCAGGAGAGAATTTTCCCAGTGGATATTTAGAAGTAACCATGTCAGAAAAACACTAACTAGTGGTTTAAAGACAACCATCCTGGTAGATGTTTTAAGTTATTAGGGGGCAGAAATGTAATCTGATGATGGAGCAAGACATTGGAATAAATTCTCCCCGGGCTGATACAGAACCAGTGAGCATCAAAGACGGGATAAACAGATCAGGATGCAAGGATAGAACTTGTGATTTTAGAGCTATTTGTTTTTCATTCCAGTTTTTGGGAGAATTAAGTCTGATAGATGCTGACCCATACTTAAAATACTTGCCATCACTTATTGCTGGAGCTGCCTTTCACTTAGCACTCTATACCGTCACAGGACAAAGCTGGGTACGTATTATACTTGCTAGTTTGGTTTGGGCAGAAAGCTTAGCTGTAAACTTGAATTTGAAAGCTCTACTTAAGAATCTGGGTCGATCGCCTGCTGCTGGCAGCAGAAGTAGTCAAAAGATGAGTGAGCTTGAACATGTTAAAGATTAGTGCAAGATTAAGGTGCAGTGGTCAGTGCCCTGTGCTGTTACAAAAAACTCAATGGTTGTCTTTTCTTTGTAGCCTGAATCATTGGTACAAAAGACTGGATATACCCTGGAAAGTCTTAAGCCTTGTCTCATGGACCTTTACCAGACCTACCTCAGAGCACCACAGCATGCCCAACAATCAATAAGGGAAAAGTACAAGCATTCAAAGTAAGAGTCAGATTCTTTGTTCATTAAAGGGTACTGGTGGTCTGCCACAGCTGCCTCAGCAAGACAGTAATCGTGTGTGGGGAGCTGCTATGCCTGGTATTGTCCCCTGGGCATCTGGTAGGGTGGGTAAGGGAACAGGTGCATGTGTTCTGAGTATCAAATGATTCTATAATCATCAGTCTAATCAAATAGAAATAGCATTTCTCCAGTCTGGGGGTACATAAATGTTTACTGAATTTGTTGTTTTCTTCCCTACTCAACAGGTATCATGGTGTTTCTCTTCTCAACCCACCAGAGACACTAAATGTGTAAGAATGAAAGACTACCTTTGTTTAGAATGGGAGTTCACAATGGACAGTTTTTATCTTGGGTTTTAATTTCACAATCATTTCAGAATGTAAATGGTATAGCCACAGACCAATTATGGTATCCATTGCTTTTTAAATGGTTTTAATTTGTATATCTTTTGTACATGTATCTATCTTACATATTTGGCTAATTTTAATTGGTTTTGTTAACATTTGGTGCTGCCAACTGTCAGGATATTAAGAATAAATTGATTTGGAAATCTTTGCAAGTCAAAGTTAATTTGAGATAAAAAAAAATAAGGCTGATGATGTCACTTAGAAAAGCTAACTTGGTTTGTTACTGTTCAGTGGGGTGGAAAAGGCATTCTAAAACTGAAATATTTCAGGGAGATGGATCTTCAAATTCTGACATTGATTATTCTAAGCAACTAAACCAAATTGCTGACTTGGTTATAAAATAAGTATGTAGAGATCCCCAGACCCATTCAGTTCTACGTATGCTTCAGTAGTTTACTGAACTATTTTATTTATCAACTTTAATAAGATTTTGTGCAACAGAAAAGTTTATTCAAAGCATAATGTTAGAAAGACAAAATTTATCAAAAAGTTCAGTTTTTATAATGGGTTTTCAAATAAAAAACTACCCAGGGCTGTTAAACAGCACTGAATAAATAGCCTTTTATTATTTTTTATATATATATATATATTTACAAAAATACCAGGTTAGCTTTAATTAGCAGCTCTCTTCTTTTTCCTCCTTTTCACTTGACTTTTACTCGGGGCCTTTTCCTTCACACTGGCGGTCTGTGCTCTGTGAATAAAGTAATGACAGCTCACTGTGTGCCCACTGCCTCAGGCACTGCATCACAACGCTCAGGCATCCTGTTATACACTAGGTCCTGTTTTTATGGACATTTGAAAGAAACATCTCTTACCTTATTTTCTTTGGATTCTTGTCTGGTTCCAAAATGATCATTTCCTCTTCTTCACTATCTGACAGCACTATAGGGACATCTTAAGAAAATACCAAAAAAGTAAAAGTAACTGCTTATCTGTTTACATCAACAAGTCCTAAGGCTCCCATTTCCGTGCCCACACACTTGAGCTCTGCTACCTGGAGGTATATATATATATGCACATCACTCTTTTCAGATCTTTACCCCCCCATAAATTGTAAAAATTTATGTTTTCTGTAAGTATTTTTCTTTTTCTTTTTTTAAAAAGGACTTATGTAGGCCAGGATGGTCTAGTATATTACTACCAGGGCTAACCATGAAAAATGTAGAAAGCTGTTTTGTTTGCCCATTTTTCTCTTGAATATTAATTTTATATATGTGTGTGTAAATAAAGCATGCAAATTAATCCTTTGTCCGTTTGGCTGGCTGTGTATTCTTTCTCAGCATTCTGTGTTCACATGCTTTGGAAAAGCTCTACCTTCACCATTATCCTGGTTATTTTAGCTGTCTATGAACCTTACTAAATCCTAGACAAATAGACAGTCATACAGTATTAGTTTAGTGATGGTTAATCCAACTGGATACAAAGGATTCTATACAGCATTTAATAGATCACATTAAAGCACCCATTTACCTAATTAAACCAACACTGGTTCCCTGTCAAATCAACAAGCTATCAGCAATAATTTTCTTCTATGAAGATACGTAGTTCACAGGCATACCCAGGCACACACACTAAACGTAAAAATGTTAAACCTTGCCAGGGGCTTCTACCCCAAAATGTTAGTCACTGCTACTAATGTCAATTAACTCTTCTTAATTAATGCTTCTTACCACAGAAGATTCTACTAAACAGTCCTGTGTCATAGCTTGTTTTAAAGGTTTGTGTGCATCTGTGAAACTACTCCAGACCGGACAAGGGTGTTGGCTCCCTTGGAGCTGGAATACAAGGTTGTGAACCACCCAGTATGGGCACTGGGATCCAAACTGGTCATCCTGATTGAGCAATAAGTGTCTTTACCACCTCTCTGGCCCACATCATGAGCTTTTTATTTGAGTCAAACTACACAAGGCAGCTTGCAGGGATGAGATCTTTAGGGAAAACCTTCAAATGCCCATGGGTAGGCTTTTGTTTGATAGGCTCTCTAGTTCTTGCTGTTCTGAAACTTCCTTTGTAGAACAGAGCCTCCTACCTGTCTTCCCAGTGCTGAGATTAAAGGTACATATTATCACACTTGGCCAGATGTAATTTTTTTAATTGTTTAAATTTTTTAAACAATTGTTTTAAACAAATTATTTAAAATTTGTTTAAATTTTTTTTAAACAATTAAGTTGTTTAAAATTTTTTTTAATTGTTTAAGAGTATCACTCATTTACATGCCAAAGCATACCACTAAATCCCAAAGTACTTTGCTTTCCAAGACAGGAACTAGTCCTATGTATGACCTATACTCCATACAGATACCTCTTTACATATGTAGATTTATATCTGTAGCTGTCTCTCATACACAGTAAAAGCCAAAAGAATCACCTACCTTGGCTTCCAATATCAGAAATTCCTCCAGTGTCCATCTTTGTATCATCAAGAATGACAGCTTCATCAGTGCCACCCTCCTCCTCCTCCTCTTCCTTCTCAGAATCTTCAAGGTCACCCCAAGAGTTTTCTATTCCTTCTCCTATCTGAGCGGTACCAGGAGTCCACAGTACAGGTTTGGAAACACTTAACAAGTTAAGAAAACTGAATATCCAAAACACTGCTATTTTCTTGTAAGACTGCTTCATGTGTTCCATCACCAATAATCAACTTGATAGTAATTTGGCAATAAATGATTTCAAGATTATGTAGCGAACTTGGTCCTGTTGTCAGTATTGAAGTAGTTTCTCAAAGGGAAATGAATGCTGTAATTTGGCTTGTGTTTTCTTACAGTACTAGAATAGAATCCAACGCCTTACATAGCTAGAGAGCTGCAGTACCAGTGAGCTACATCCCCCAGCTTTAATTTGGTTTTTAAAATAGAAAACTGGGGCTGGAGAGATGGCTTAGTGGTTAAGAGCACTGACTGCTCTTCAAGAGTCCCTGAGTTCAATTCCCAGCAACCACATGGTGGCTCACAGCCATCTATAATGTAGACCTGGTGCCCCCTTCTGGCATGCGGGCACATATGAAAGGAATGATGGACACATATTAAATAAATAAATAAATCTTTAAAATAGAAAACTTTTTTAGAGATAACTGAGAAAAGCTAGATGTCATATTATCAACTTAACATGGCATATTTATCTCTTAAGTATGATTTCCCCCAAACCAAATTTCAATATGCACATTATAGCCTTGATAAAAACAAAACAACAAAAAAAAAGGTTAAGCATCTCGTTATCGTATAAACCACATAATAAAGATACACTTCTGGAGGAGGTTCAGCTTCAGCAATAATTTCTTCTGCTTTCTCTTCTATGTTGGAGGTATCAACAGAGGCCTTCTCCATTTTAAATGCTGTGATCCTTTGATTGGCTATAGACTCTGCAAAGCCAAACTTCCCCCCTTCTTTCCTGTAGGGGTTTGGGTAGTGGTTTTGGAGATGACAATAAGAGAGAAAAAAACTTACTACTTGGGCTTTGGTAGGTGAGAAATAGACTTACTTAACTTCACCACTTGTCCTTGTTAGCTTCAACTGTAAACTTGACAGAGCCTAAAGTCACTGGAGAAGGGAGGCCTCACCAAACCAGACTGCCTTATCTACGGAGGAGTATGTTGATTGTTAACTGATAAGAGGGCTCAGCCCACTATGAGGGGCACCATTCCTGGGGCAGGTGATCCTGTGCTGTGTAAGAAATGGAGCTAAGCATGAGCCTGTGAGCCAGCAATCAGCATGCCTCTGGTCTCTGCTGTACCCCTAAGCTCTGATGAAATTCCCTCAGCAGAGGAAATGCTACATGAGCTAGCAAGGAGGCCTGCCTTCAGGCTCCTCACTGGTGAACTGATCTGAAAGTATAAGCCAAATAAATCCTTTCCTAAACTGCTTTTGGTCAGTGTTTTACATCAGCAATGAGAAACAAACTAGAACACTCCCATAGTTATCAAGACAGATGTGAACCTCTGCTGCCTATCTGCGAGGTACCTGAAGTGTATTCTCTAAGCCTCCAGTCAGCTGGACAGACAGAAGGCATCAGCCTCCACAGGACAAGACAGTACACTGAAGTGCTGGGTACTTGTTGCTTAAGGTAACAAGCAGAGCTATAAACCAGCCTGTTTGTTCTATTCATTTGAGTTATTAGATTCTTTTTGACTAAGAAAATGTTCATTTAAAGAAAACACTTCTCTAACTTTTTAGAATAAAATCTCAACAAAGTACTAGTATAAACAACTGAGAATAACTAAGAAAAGACCACGTATGAAATCATAAGACTGCCCTTGTGTGATAAAAGCCCTTAGAAACAGGGATTTAAAAAGCACATAGTTCTTACCTAACTTTCTGGTCGTTTTCCAAAGCTTTCTGTATCAGCTCTGTAATTTCCGCTACTTTCACACCAGCTATTTTACTGCATCTCAAAACCTATTTGTAAATTTGAGGTGTTAGTCAAAGAAAACAAACTAAACGGCTTTTTCTAATGAAACCAAAACCATGACATGAATTCTTTACCTTTATAATTTAAGAATTTCTTTTCCAAGTGTGAGATTAAGGCACAATAAATACAGTTAAGACAAAAATATGAAAATCCCTTAACTTTTGAAGGTCTGGAGCATTAAGGGAACAGACTTGAGAAGATACACAAAGATCACCAGTCAAAGGCTCGGGAACACAGGCTTTCTTTCTGTGTCAGTCATCCACAGAAACATTATAGTGGTTGCAATCCTAGTACCAATGGTGCTGGCGACAAAATGCAAAGTAGCATCACTGAGCACGCCGTACCTCAGATGCCTGTCATCTGCCTACACATTTACCCTTCAGTCCCGTCTACCGCACAAGCAGTAGAATCATCCCCTGTGTACAGAGGAAAACACGGAGACCCAGTCATAAGTCATTTGCCCAAAGGTTATAAAGATCAGTTACAATGTGAATGAGAACAGCCCCCGCACACTGCTACTGGGCACTCTATTATCTACAGCCTCTGTGTGAATCTGGTGTGCGGCCAGGTGTGAGTATCACTGCTGCCTGTATCACATTCTAAAACTAAAACTCAGTTTTCTCTTAATGTATACATTTAATGCTTTAAAAAGTAGCAATATTTGTCTTTCTTCACTGAAGGAACTAAGGTATTCCTCCAGTTAGATCCTCAAAGGACAAATATAGGGAGGGGCAAGGAAAGAAAGCATAACTCATGGCCACTTGTTAGAACATAATGCTTGACCTGAAGCCAGATTCTAACATAACTAGACTTACTCATCTGAGGTACCCTGTGGCCACACACCTTTAATTCCAGCACTCAGGAGGCAGAGGCAGGTAGGTCTCTATGAGCTCAAGGCCAGCCTGGTCTTTTAAGAGTTAGTTCCAGGAGAGCTAACATACAGGAGAACCTGTCTTCCCTGTCTTGAAAATCAGAGAAGAAAAAGGAAAAAAGGAAGATAATTTTGAAACAAATGATGAAGTAACAATAAAGCTTCTGAAAAGAGTCCTCTTACAGGGAAACTGGTCAAAGCACTGACCTGGTCTTTGAGCAGCATTATCCCGCCACTAGACTGAATAGTACAAATTTCTCGATGCTTATTCATGGCAATCACCAGCAAGCCATCCATTACTCGTTCTTCTCGCTCATTGGGGTCCACTAATAAATATGTTCTGAAACAAATGTTAAATAGTACTGAGCACATCTGAAGCTGAGTGCTGTTTCCAGAACAGGTTTTTCAAGTTAGCCAAGGTCAACGCTGAAGGCACTTTTAAGTCAATAGTTTCAGTTTTGTGGAGTGTATGTTTCTCTGGCCATTACAATGAGACGACACTAAGTTCAGACTGAAATTTAAACCCAATACTTATAGCATCTCTTTGATAAAATGACTTCTGGCTCATTAATAGTTAGACCACACACAAGTGGATCCAGCTTTACTTAGAAGCACATGTGACTATGTAAGCTTCCCATTTTAGACCGTGAGAGGTTAACAAGGACTTGGGAAGAAAAGGCTAGACAGCTGAAGGAAACGAGTGTTTTGGTTTGCAGCTCACTTTCCCTTGCAATGTGCTCCTAGAACTACCTGCTCTATGATGTCTCACAGGACCTATGGTCATTAATCCACAGCAACTCTCCCACTTTCTCAGATGAGAGCTCGCATATAATTCTCAAGGCATTTGCCTAGTTCAAAGAAGGACAAATGTGACTGTGTCGCATTAAATTCTTATTCTGTAAGGCTGTTATGAGCAGAAAAGCTATGGGAAGTGCATTTTAACAGCTGAGTTTGTGACTTCCCCTTACAAAGA